GGGTTACCAGGTTAGAGCCGCAGAGCCAAAAATACCGTAGGCTGTAAACTCGAGGATGCTAGCCAGCGAGCCTCGCTGCAGCAGCCAACCTGAGAATCCTGTGTGGGCGTAAACCAAGCTGCTGCCAGCGAGCCGCGGCCGCCAGCCGAGCCTATCTATGGAACAGTAGTGGGGGTGTAGCCTCAACTATTTAACGCGGCGCCATCTGCGCCCGCGGTTCTCATTCAGTAGCATCGGGGAGCTTGTACGTGTATGTACGAGGAGTGTAGGAGTGTGGGCGAGATGTCCGGAGAGTAAGGGCCAGACGATCTCGCGTGCTGTAAGGCACACGTCGCCACGACCGGGTTAAATTTTGGCGTCAGGCCATGTGACGGTAATTGTCACGGAGGGTCCGCAGCGCCGCCAGAGCGCAAACTCCCGGAAGTTCAGGCTCAACCCCTTCCTCCCCCGCAGCGTACTTTCACCGAACTAACGGTTCTGGCCCTCGTGTTAACGACGCCACACAAGCTATACCGGGTCTTCTAGTTCTTTATAATTTATGTCGTTCCCATTGCACATTATTTTCTTTCGTTAAATTTTGTTACATGATTACTCACGAATTAGATAGTATCCGACAGTTGTAAATGTTAAATTTTGACTGTATTATGACTAAAACTGTTACACTAACATTCATAAATGATTGTTTACTTTCTTCATAGCGTTTGTAGATTTAATATTGAATAATTATGTCATGTAATATTACATAATGTTTCCATTCACGGATGACAAAAGTACCTGTCGCTGTGAAAGATGTGTAAATCACCAAATAAAATACGTTTTCTAGAGAATATAGATGGGTTTTATCACTAATAATGTAATATATGAGAGATATTAAAAATAGTTTGGTAATGCGGAGTAAAGTATAAGTACTTCAAAATATATCCCGACTTCTGTGTTGTTGACGTAAGTGATTACGGGTTTATATGACGTTCTTTTTATTCTTCAGTGGTAGTTACTATGTAATACATATTGAATAATTTTGAAATCACAAGCACCTTATTATAATGCGTGCCTTTTTTCACTTCATATTTCAGATTATCACATTCAGATGTCTGTGATAATGTATATTGACTTTTGTCTTACAGGGCATCTACAAAGTTGTAAACCTTTTACTTAGCGTCGAAGATGTTAAACCGCTAATGCGTGAGGGAATAATGGTGTTCACGCTGAAACACTTGTTGGACGGAAAGTGTTTTGGTTGTGCCGTCATTGAATTCACCGTCACAATAGAGTAGAATTCGGATCTGCAGTTAACATTTACTACTGCAAATCGTTTGATTCCCTCCTCTGGCTTACCAACTCCTAACCGAGATCTTGTTCCACATGTTTATGACTTTCTCTGAGATGTTACATTCCATCAGCAACAGAGGCTGAAGACAATAATAATTCGCTTTGCATTGGCCCATGTCCTGCCATCGCCATGGGAATGAAGAGACACCGCCCTAATGTAATTTCTGAAGGAAGATCTCTACAGAATTTTCTTTCAGAAACGTCATCGACACCTTGTGTCAAGACTTAATAAAACATTCATGTGTCAGGCCTCTCAACAGAATGCACCATCACACCCTGCAATAAGTTGCTTATGTAAAAAAAAGATTAAAATAAAATACAAAGAACTATGTGATCGATCGGTATTTATCCCCCCCCCAACACATAAGTTTTCTACGCGTTTAAGAGAAAAATTGTGGATGATAAAGAGCTTTCTCTGATAAAATTGTTATCACATTATCAAATTTTCTGCAAATATAAGTACTTTTTTGTTCGAAAAGGATAGGTTTCAAACTGGAGAGGAAAAAAGTAGTATGTAATCTATTTTTAATTAGAAAATAACTCCGAACCGGATTTTTCTAAGGGAATCATCTTTTTTGAGGTTCACTCTTCTGCAATATATTGCGATACATCACACGTGTAATGGTTACAGCTTCGATTCTAACCTCATTAGCCCTGACTGTGGCGTAAATTAATTTCGGATGACTTATTCAATCTAGTGGATCGCAAAAGGAAAGTGGGTTGCTTGCACAGAACACACACAAATTACACATAAACGAATATAATTTTGATAAAAAGCAAGGAAATTAAACACTTAACATTGATTGCCTTTAGATTTTGCGCAGACCACTTAGACTCTAATACTCACTCTACACGAAACATTGATAGATTCTGTTACCACTGCAGACCACTTAGACTCTAATACTCACTCTAAACGAAACATTGATAGATTCTGTTACCTTAGTAATTCCCTCTTTAAGAGCTAATTCGCCCATGCCACTCACGACAGCTTGGAAACTCTGTCATCGCAGATGAAGCATTTCGACAGGCTCTAGTCACACATCTGTTGTCCTCTTTCCGCAAGTTATCGCCCCCCCCCTACTAGAAAGTGTGACGGCGGCAGGTGGCGTTTCGCATTTCAGAATGCGCCCAGCAGCGGCTCATGTCCGTGCGACGGCTCAGATTCGGCGACGACTCGATACGCCTAGGCGAACTGACTGGAGTTTGAACGACACAAAAGTTCTGTGACATACGTCTATTAATATGCCTGTGTTTTTTCTCATTAATGCATCACCAAAATAATTCCATTTACCAAATTTCATTGCATGCATTTGTACTTTGCGCGAACATATGAAAGCTTTGGTCACATGTGAAAAAATGGACAAAATTGTGAAAGAATGGTTTAAAATCGTAAAATTAAAATTATTATCCCTAAACATAAATAACATGAGCTTCTGTTCTGAACAAACAAAATTATATTAACTTTATTTATTCATATGAACAAGAAAAATTGAAACATATAACAGAACAAGAAACTATATTATTATTTAAAATAACTATTCCCTCCTCTAATAGACCTTCTTTATTTTTGCTTGTACTAATAACACTCTTCTCCCTCTCAGTTTATGATATCAATGTTTTGACTCAGTATCTTGTTTCCTTCTCAGATGTTCCTGGTTCACATTTATTGCGCAAGCGTCTTCCTCAGCGCTCAATTCAACTTATTGAAGTTCCCGTCTTACTTTTTGTCGCAAATAATATTCAATTACAAAATTCTGTTATTATTAAAACATTATCTCCTCTTCTCTTAACACACAGCCAAAACGATCTTTCTCGGATCCCTTGTCGTCCTCATTTTTCAAAGCCTCATGTCGTTCATTTTTATCATCTTCTCGCCGACCAATGTCCAAGCAGTTTGCACATACATGGAATATGATATATTACAGTTCCCACGTCAAGTTCATCCACTAAGATGATTTTTAAGTCCGCGCCACTGCGTGAGCCAGTAAGATATTCGCCTGAAAATCTTTGCAGGCGACTTGATTTGATTTGATTTAATTTGACAAAAAATAGTAAAAACTGTACGCGAAGTATGGAGAAAGACAATATGTACACGATTTATTGAGCTGGAAAATCTCTTTCCAGCCTTTAACCGTGAAAAATTACATGTTGAAGAAAAGTGCCAACAAAGCAAAGTTAGTAACGTTTGAGAGTAGACATTTAACTCCAAAGTTATAGGAAAGTTTTTTTTACATAGCTAAACGCGTAACATACTTGTCTTTCAGTTTTTTAAAGAAAATAGTAGCCATTACCTCGGCTTCACTCATACCCTAACTAACAAAAAGAGAGCTCAACAAAACCAGCGCACAATGAAGCTACATTTATGTTTAGAAGCAAAAGAAAAGGTCATATCCTCATTTTCTCAATATGTCAAGAAAACAAAGACGAAAACTAGATTATGAGGGGGGTCACTGACCATGACGTGCATTACATTTACAGGAATGTTAAGTGCATCTGACACCCAAAATGCCTCATACAAAGTTTTACAAATGTCGGTGCGTAACATAAAAAAATGATTTTTTTTTTATTGGGCGTTTAACGGTAACGTTTCGTTACCCAAAAGGCACTGCATTAAAGAAATGCCAATGCAATCTACATGTAAATCTTTCTGATCACAGATTAGATGGAAAACTGTTTTAAAAACTTTTTTTTTAATTAAGAAACTAAGCTTGCAGATTTAACTGCGTAGAAAGATAACGTTTCTGAAAAAAAATCTTGCAAACGTCTAGAGAGAACTTTCTTGCTCCCACTTCATCGCGACCTTTATTAACTATTTGAACAATACTAGATATACGTGTATGGGATTTGTCAATTCAATCCAAACACTATTAATTGTCACACAACGTGTGAATCTGGGAGAATTTAGAATGTTTCATCATTTTATGTAAATTCAAAGTTCATTAAACCTTAACACCATCCCCTCCCCAAAGTAATAATTTTTTTCTTTCCAAACTAAATCAAATTAAATTTAACAATCAATTTATTGTTACAAACCACTCTTATTTTATGTAAGGGCAATCTAACAAAGTCATTGACTACTTATTACAAACAATTAAACCGCTTAGAAGATTGTATCGCTGAACGAGAAATAAATGAACGAGTTATTGTAACAAATGGATTAATACAATCGTTAGAGGAGCTCTTGAAGAGGCTTTTTATATACGTAAAAAATAAATTACTTTGTACTTTTTACAAAATAAAAAAGTTCTCATTTAATATGGGCCGCTGCCCTTATCAGATTTCTTTAAAGGTGTACTACTAAAAATTTGGAGAAAAAGTTGTATTAGTTACGAAACAAATGCAGAAATATAATGGAACGTCCTTAGGATATTGAAAGGGTGAATGAAAAAGTCACGTTTTCATTTGGGCATACTGGAATCTTACCATTGCCTTGTCTATTTATTTACAAATCTGTAGTTTTTCTGGTCAAAACTGACTTGCTTAGCTGTTATAATATATTTCCATGCAATGCTGGTATTTAATTACAACACGCAGTAGAAAATACATTTATTAGGTGTCAGTAACAACAATTCACCACAAGTAACCCACATATACATGCTGGTTACTTTACAATATATTGCCAGATGACATTCAAAAATTAAAATCGATACACAAGTTCGAGTACAGAATAACATTTTTTCTGCTGCAATACTGCTTCTATACAATTAGAGAGTACACTGACCTAAAAAAGTGTATTATAGCAGTGAAATATAATGAACGATAATGCAACTCTATTGAGATGCCAGATATTGACAGACTGAACATCCGATGGAGACATACCTATACAGCTTATACAAAATGGTGCCATGAAAATTGTAATTTTATTTTGAACAATATTTAAAATATCTTAATGAACTAAAAATAATACCTTCCGAGAGAATTTTAAAATTTATTGATGGCTTTAAAATTTGTTTTATATAGCACACTACCTGCTATGATAAATAACAATTAATTTAATATTTGGTTAAACACAGTTAACGAATGGATAAAGTTATGAGCTTTTGCATGACATTCATTTGTAAAGGCGTTGAAATATAAGTTTTATTATTGCAACAAATACGTGATGAGTACGGGATGCAACTAACGTATTTGAATACATTATGTCCAAAACATGTTAAATCATTTAAAAACTTTTGTATTGAGTGAAAATATCTGATAGTTAATATAATTTAATTAAATTAACACAAAATATAATACATTTCCAACGGAAACAAGTATAAAATAATTTATTATTCAAGCCACAACTTCATAAGTACCCTGGGGTGACAAAACTCATGGAATACGCAAATACCCTTTTTTTCTGAACGATGACACAGGTATGCATGATAGTGTCTGTCTAGCAGCCAAAATAAAAAAAAAGAGACGTTCAGACCATTTCCATCTGCATTTTGTGAACGAATGATTTCACTTGAATAGCAAACGGAGAGAAGAAGGAATAGGGATGATGTTAGTCTATGTTAAATATTTCTAGAAAGAAATGTATTTATTTTTTTCTTATCGAGTGCCCTCCCTTTTACATGAACATTGTTAGCACCCCTATGTATACCGCTATACACACACACACACACACACATTTCCTTGCAAGGCCAGTTAAAAAGGAAAGTCTTAATTAAAGTAATTACTTAGCGCAATATTGTAAGCAATGAGTGCTGATTGTCTAGTATCGAAATATAGTGTGGGAGGTTGAATCATACAAACAAAATTAGTTGTCATTTGCTATTAGTAAAAAATTAGTTATAAAGTTAGCCCGTACACAATAATACCAGAGGCAATTATAAGAAATAACACTTATCAGAGAAGAACAGTTGCTGCATATACAGACTTCTGCTGGAATTTACATGTTTGTACGCCTCACAAGAATCCCAACACCCAAATAGAAATAATATGGATCCCTTCGCACAATAAAATCTTTGGCAATGAGAAAACTGATGTAGCCGCTAAACATGCCACGTCAATCACTTGCGCCGACAACCAAATTCAAGGCACCTTCCATGTCCTTCAAAAAATTTGTAAAGGACTCCTGCTTCAGCTATTGGGACTCTATCTAGAAATTGGACGTCTCCAAACTCCACTTAGTGAGAAAATCAATTCTTGAACCAACTCTCCCCGGTAAACATTTTAAGAGAAGAGAACAGGTTGTAATCACTAGACTAAGGATAGGCCATTTCAATCTCCATTTCTGCCACCTATTTAAGAGATCAGATCCAGAACCCTGTCCAAAGTGTGGTGCAGCAGTCTCCACCTCCCACCTTATTCTTGAATGCCCTAGTACAAATGATATAAGAAAACATCTAAAAATTGAAGGAACCCTACATCTACTAATCAGTTCCACAAACGGGTGTGCCAAAATAATAAAATTGTTAACAACTACAAAAATGTATAACCTTATATAGCTGATTTATGTCATAGATTAAATCGTACATATTGTGTAAAATGTGATTAAATGTAACAATTCTGTTCATGTAACAATTGTAACCTTTATGTTTATACATACAATTGTACAATGAGAAGGGTCGCTGATGACCTTGATGTTATAAAGCGACCATAAATAAATAAATTTAAAAAAAGGAATCCCAACATCTCATGATTCAAAAACTTGTTGCATCGCAAATAATTCTCAATAAAATTGCATCACTAAAATGTCACAGGCTACATGACCCAGTTCTTTCCTCTGAGACAACTCACAGAGTAGTCGATCCAATGGACGAAAATAGATCTGTTGGTTACCTTTTCCTCCACATTCGTGAGTCCAGGAAATCAATAAATTCGATTGAAATGTGAGGTTGGAATCACGAGTTGAGTAATGACATTTGAAATTAGTCCCATTTGCCAACGTGTTCGCAGGTAGATAGAAAATTATTGATTAGTGATTTTGTGAACAGCTAGGGTTATTAGTTCCGTAAATATAGTGCATTATTTTTTATCATGGGAGGTAAGGAGTGATGTTCCCTCGCCTTTCCCGCCCTTCCCTCGAGTCCACCACTCGAATTGGTGGGAGGGGGGGTCACAACAACCGGGTACCTCCCAGTATCACCAATTATTTTCCCGGCTGGTCTCCCGGCATGTGTAGTAGTGTAGTGCCTCAAAATGTGTAAGAAAGAGGTGAGGAGAAGGCAAGAATAAGGAAGAAAATGTCGCGCGCGGTAAGTGGCCCGTGTGTTAGATACTGCTCCGGCTTTCGCCTGGTGGGGATCGGAGAAACCACGGAAAACTACCTATCAGAGCTGCCAGCCTAGAATTTCTCTCCAGACAGATGTCGAATTCAACCTAGCTGTATGCAGCTGGCGTCGAAAATCCTATATCTCACGGGTCTCAAACGCAGGACCTCCCGATCGTAGGAACTGGGAAGACATAAATCCCTGAGCCGCCTAAGCAAGAGAAAATGTTCGATCGTGTCCAGAACTTATAAGCTGCGAATGAATGTGAGCGATGGGCGTGTGCATTCACTTAGAGATGCGTCTATACTGCGCGAGCGAACGCATCCGAACGCACAATGTTTCGTTCATTCGGCCGGTGGAAGTGCATCACCGAACGAATCGTATTGTTCGAGATCGGCTGTCGAAAGCGAGTGAACGTTTGCTCAGTACGTTCGTTGCTATAACTAAAAAGTGAACGATAGACGAACACATTCGCTCAACGCTCAGACGCTCAACGAACACATTCGCTCAACGTTCGGGACGCCGTCGAACATTTTCATTTCTACCTGCGAACACGTTGGCGAATGGTGTTCATTTGAACAGTCTTGTAAAAGTAAAGGCAAATTGTGAAGTTGGTAGTTTGCATAGGAAAGTATGAAACTTTTAAATGATATGTTTAAAGGCTAAACTAGTGAACATACACAAATTTATTTATTTAATGTATTACAGTTTTAATTATTTTTTTCAATATTACATCATTAGTGTTCTGGATGCGAGAGAAAATTCGCTTCAAAATGCACTCTTAAAAATACTGAGGAACCAGTGGCTTTAATAAACAATTTATTTTATATTTGTTTCTGACAAGAATACGTTGTTTTATTGTCTTAATTTAATGTAATAGTATTAACACTCAAGCATTACTGTTTAATACAAAAGATTTTTTTCTTAATTCAACATGTTTTGAAAATAATGCATTGAAATACGACAGTTTAATCTACTTTAACCCATCACAATTTTTTTTACTTTTTTGCCACAGTAGACAGAAAGTTATGTAGTGCCTTCGACGCAAAAACTCTTATTACAGGTCCCTAGTGAAGAAAAAAATAGACAAATTCATTTGCTAAATTTAGGAGGGAGGGTCTTCTAACACGTGGTGTAACCAGTATCCATATTTTGTGGGTATTTCATACCGAAAAATCGAATGATGGCAAAACGCCGGTCTGTCTGTTCGTCCGTGACCAATGCTAGCGGCAATACCATTCAGCCGATTTTCTACAAAATTGATGTAGAGTGGAATGTATCAATCAATTATTTATATATTGTTGACTAGAAAACTAAAATAGTTATTTTATTCATAAATTAAGCATTCGCCTTTAAATTCTAAAAACTAGTTGTAAAAAAAGGAAAAATAAGATTTTCCTTGAAAATAGTTTCTAGGATCGGTGTTACGGTATCAAAAATATCCCAAGAAATTAGTGCATGTCTTAGAAACTGTGTAAAGAATGCATTTCGTTACGTTACATTAAAAACAATCTAAATTCCGCCGATATACAGCGTCAAATGTGAGCAAAGATAGGAAAACACATTTTCTAGATTGTCATTTTAGTAAGTTAAAAAATTGTGAAAATGTGTTTTATAGTTTATTTTGGGAGTAGAAATTGGAATATAATAGAGAAAGTAAAAGATATTATCGTCCTCCTAAAATTTGGCCGTGAACCAAATTCACCTATCTTCCGCTATTCTCTTTCAATGCCACAAAATTGCACGTTGATGCACCAGTAGATGTACTTTTACATGCAACCGTTATCAAACGTTCAAAAAACGTATAGACGGAAATACATCCTTTAATAATGTATTTCAATATTATGCCTAGATAAAAAAGACGACATGTTACGGTGTCATCCACTTGCATTTACGTCCATGGAAAGGAAACGTTTCACATAATTACTGGAGACGAAGAACCACAGTAATAAGAGTAAGTAGAACTGTCCTTCTCTAAGAAGTGTGAAGTGACTATTTAGAAGTGTAGAGTAACAAAGTGAAACATTCAAGCTTCTTTTATAAATCTACAAATGCACAACTTTTGTCAAATAGATCGATGACATTCGTACATTTAATTACTTTACATGCGCAACTGCCTCGTGGAAATCCTTTTATTATCCTCCAGTTAAGCTGCACAAACGTTAAACTCTTATTGGAACTAGTTTTACAAATCTGTGTACCTGAGAAAAAATTTCATATATGTCCCCCAGAATGCTCAAAAAATAATTGTCCTGGAGAATTATGAAGTAGTGGTGCTACAACAGAACATTCTTTCAGGAATCATTTGTAACATTCGAAATTTTTGAAGATTTAGATACCTCAATGCAAAATGGCCTTTCGCCATTTTACAAGAGTACTATAAATGCTTTTATTTCATTTTTTTGCTTTTCAATGATATATAATATTAGAAGTTTCATTAATTATTTTTGTGATTGACCTTTAGTTTCATATTTAAAAAACCCTTCTGTAATTCGTTTTAAAGATGTTTGAAAATTATCTCTTTTTGGATGTGAGAAAATGATATTAGCTTATCGTTCTTTTCTCTCAGGGATGTTGCTGTACATTGTCCTGGTAGAGATTTTTCTGTTACTCTGCAGTTCACAGTTAGACGCTCAGTTGGTAAGTTGATACACACATTTGTTCAGGTACAGTCACGGAGGTTGGACAAGAGAAATATCTTTCGATCACTTCTCTCCTTAAAATTACATCGCGAATAAATAGTTCTTGTGTCAATCTGAAACTTGTATGCAAAGTGCGTGTGAGGAATTTTCGTGGCATAGAATTTGACAATCATGTTAAAATGCTGTCTTCGATGTGAGTGTCAAAAATGTCAATTCACGACAGATACGATATCACAAGTGCTTCTCGCATTGAGGATATTTTTCTGTTTAGTCACAATAGATTGATCTTAATCCTCAATAGACTGTTATCTTCAACTTTATAGGTAATACATATTTAAAAAATTAATTTAACGAACCCAGTTGTAGATAGAAAATGTGGACAAATCCTGTTGCTAAATTTAGAAAAATATCCTCTAACTCGTGGTGTAGCCAGAATGCATGTTTTGTGAGTTCCTGATACCGAAACATATTGCAAATACGTTTTTTCTGATACTTAACTCGGGAACAAAAATGTCTAGTTATTCAAATGTTGCTACTGTCCCGCTTTTTTAAAAAATATTATAATTATTATTTTAAATTTTTTTAACTTTCATTCATTTTTCAACTATTTTTAGTTAAAATTATGGGAAGGGGTTCTGAAACTCAAGAAAACTTGTGCAGATTATCTTCTCGTCCGTACATCACATACAGTTTTAACTGTTTTTTGACTAAATAAATCTAAACATCGATTGACGCCAAAACACCCATTTGTCCGTTTGTCTGTCTGTCTGTCTGCAGGCAACCCTAGCGCCTAAATTGTTCAGCTTATTTTCTTCATAGTTGATATTACCTGATTGATCTGAACGGACTAGAGGCTTCGGGAGTTTCCAACGGATATTTTGAATGTTGAAGAGTGTTTTATAAAAATCGGGCATTTGACCCATGCGGAACAAATTCTTTCACAAACAACCATAAACTGTACAATCATTCGTCGATCCTCCGGCTTTCTCTAACTTATTAATTCACTTGTACATAGTAAGATTAAATCTCTATTATTTTATAACAGTATATTGCCTTTCATTCACCTTAAAAGGAAAGAGTCCCCTGAAACCAGCTCTGATCCTGTTAAGTCCACTCGCTACACGGTACCTCCTATCGTTTTGCACCTCCTACAATTATTAATATTATTATTACTATTATTTGTCTTATTATAACCATTATTATTATTATTATTATTATCATAACCAGTTTATTTTGTAAATCATTTCCACCGAATTGTACACAATTGCAGCTAAATACTTAGTGTATCCTATTTCCAGCTCTTTCCGGCCTATTTGTTTACAGGACGATATAGAAGCGCCGGAAGTCTTCGAATTCGATGCTGTGCTGAAAAGCGTGAGTCCTTGCGAAGGAGATGAAGCTTACCAACACAAGCTGAACAACCCTAAGCTCGAACGTATTTCGCAAGACACAGTCGCGCTCTCATGTGAATTAGAAGTAACTTCGGATATTCCAGACAACCCAACGTACACGGTAGGTTGGCAATGCCAAATATCAACGGGAAAAAATGTTATGATGAATTGCTGCAAGAATTGGGTCAGGGTTCACAGAAGAAAGTAAACTTCAGTGTTTTATTCAATTAATTTCTTCTCTAGTGCAAATTTGGTCGAGAATTCCCGGTTTGAAGTCAAGCGTTAACGGAAAATGATTGTAAATACCCGAATACTCCCCTATTTAATCCTATTAAGGTTGCGATTTGTAAAATATAGGGGGTTCACAAAGGCAAAATATATTCTAGACGGTCAAATAGGAAAACTCTATAGGTTTACGGTGGCAGAAGGAAAATGTAGTCAGTTCTACACAGCAAAATTGATTTGGAGACAATAGCCTCAGAAGTAGTAAATGTGATTCGAGAAAAAGCAAACTAACTACTATATACGGGAACACATAATGTGAAATATCAATTTTCAAAGCTCCATATAATGAAACTAGTGATGCTTCAAAATGGCACAGACTTTCTCATAGTAGATAGATTCATTATCTCTTTAATTTGCGGCATTTGTTTTCATATTCACCTCACCATTTTGTCAGCTGCCTTCACTTGGCGCCAAAACATTTTTTAACGACTTCTCAATTTTTTGTATCCCTAATTGTAGAATTGACTGACTTTAGAAATATTACAGAACGATAAAATCACGTTTACAGGACTTACAGATTCAGTCCCTCTGACCGGGAGGACCCAGGTTCGAGTTCCGACGGTGACAGAATTTTCGACACTAACTTGTCAGCTAAGTCGAATTTAGTCTTTGTCTGAAGAATTCTGGCGTTCGGCAGCTCCGACCGGTAGTTTTCAGTGGTCTCTCAGATCAATACAAGGTGAATGCCGGAGCAGTATCCTAACAAACGGGCCACTGACCGTGAGCGATCTTACATTCGTCTTCCTTATCCAATCCTCACCTCTTACATACTCACACTCACACTCTCACTCACATGCGCATAGACCACACTACCACACATACCGGGAGGCCGGTCGGGAACTTCGAGTTTGTCCCGGCTGGGGCGGGGCTCCGCTTGTGGGAGACACCTGGTTGGGGAAAACCACGCTAGCCGGCGGTAGGTCAGCGCCGGATCTCGTCATACAGAGGGACGGGAAAAGCCTACCGCCATCTCTCGGGCAAAAAAAATAAGACTGAATTGAATTTGCCTTATTTTACGTGGCGAGACTCGGGCCATCACGCCCGCTCTTCCGTCTGACCACGCAAATTTCGCTACGCTCCTTTCACCAACTAGGAGAGAAAGGAGGTATTTTTGGGCGAGAAACAGGCGATTTGAATTTAGCTCAGAGGCGTCATTTAGGCTTGAGGATCTTTTACATGCAAGTAAATCTACGAACATGGGACAGCCGGCTTTACTTCCCCTCCGAAGGAAGGCGTACGAAGGATTTTTTCGCCCTTAAAAATACACGGCTTCGATCGGGTTTCAACCCGCCAACTTGGGTACAACAGACCAGTACGCTAACCGTTACACCATCGCCGCCGCTAACGTGCCCGAAATCACAAACAATCAACTAACGATTTACAGGAGAAGGGAAAAAACACCAGTCCATTACACAATTTCAAACCTTTTGACGAGATCCAAGCCCGCGAATTGCATGCTTCGCCGCAAATGCTCTAAAATTCCTGCACTTCTCAGTCTGTAATGACACGAAAATGGTTGAAAGATTGATGCAGGGTTTGGCAGAGCCCCAACTATCATCATACGAGAAATATCCGGAAAGAACGGTTGCAAAGCCCTAACTATAATCATACGAGAAATATCCGGAAAGAACGGTTGCAAAGCCTCTAGTAGGGAAATGTATTTTTCCGAGTTGGTACATCTGTTGAATAAGGAAAAGCCAGCTGAAGCGAAAGAGTGATAATGGACGTCAAAAGTGTCCCGACTCTTGTTGTGATGACGGTTTAAGTACCTTTGTTTCAGGATATTCTTCGTACAACATTCATTCTAGCATCCAAGCGGAATTCAAGCGCGGCTTTCTTTAAGCCGAACCTTCTGACGTGCGCCTGAGCGATCTGGGCTCTCCACATCTACTGGATGAACAATGTTACCTGATGTCGCAGGTGGAGACTTTCATCGAGAACGTCTCGAAAGCAGATGAGAGCGATAGGACCCCTGTAGCCACTTTCTCTTGGCCCAACGTCTGCGGCGAGCTCGCCAACGACGACAACGACGGCTTTCGCACTTTTAGGGAGAGCGTGGAGGGCGGCATCCTCTGCCCCATTAAGAAGGCAAGTCTTATGCACTTAATTTCTAACCATAAATGTAATACAGGTATATATATACAAATCAGTGTATGTTTGTTTGTATTTTATACGCTGTCGTACGATTGGGATACTACTCTGTCAACGTAATGGTTACACTTAAGCGAAGTTTAAAGGCATAATACAGTGGGAATGTGCGCATGTCAACGCACATGAGGGCGTTGTGGATTATGATTTATGAGTACATGAATCAAGCGCCCTTGAAGGGAATTTCTACGCAATCCGACCCACCCTCAAACAATAAGCGCGACTTCAGTGCATTCCATCATCCCCTACGATTGTGAAATATCGCCCGGAATTATTACTTGAACGTTATCTCGAACAAGTATATCATTTTTTTCCAAAACAGTGTCACAGCGAATGTATGCCTAAACGTAAAGTTTTAACACTAGGTACTTGATAACCATGTCTAAACCTGCACTATGATAATCACTGTCCAGTGGCGTGTGAAGTGTAATACATTGCAATAGCGAATCATTACCAGTCCACTACTTCTTTATTATTTATGTCGTTCCCGTTGCATATAACTAATTAGTAGGCCCTTGTTTTCGTTTATTTCGTTCCGTGCTTACTCATGTATTAGGTTGTATCGACAATTGTAAATGTTGCAATTTTACTGTCTTATAGGGAAAAGCCGTACCCTAACACTCATAAATATTGATTTACTTTCTTTATAGCGTTTATAGTTTTAATTTTGAATAATGATGTCATGTAATGTTACATAATGCGTCGTTCCACGGACAATAGACTGATCAACTATCCGGTGCGGGTTATGGTTCACGTCTCAATAATGTTTATTTGTGAGATATTAAAAATATTCTAATAATACGGATTCAAGTAAAGGCACTTCAAAATCTATCCCGATGTCTATGTTGCGGATGTGTATAAGTGATAACGTGTTTATATAAAGATGTTTTTATTCTTCAGTGGTAGTTGCTAGTAATACATAATAACATACACCTTATTAAAAGCATGCCTTTTCTCACTTCATATTTCAGAATATCACATTCAGAGCGCCGGGATAATGAGTAATTTGCTTCTCTGTCTTACAGGGCATTTACAAAGTTGTAAAACTTTTACTTAGCGTCGAAGATGTTAAACCGCTAATGCGTGAGGGAATAATGGTGTTCACAGTGAAACACTTGATGGAAGGAAAGTGTTTTGCTTGTGGCGTTGTTGAATTCTACGTCACCATGGAGTAGAATTGACAGCTGCAGTTAACATTTACTAATGCAAATGGTTGGAATCACTCCTCCCGCTTACCATGCTATTACCTGCTATTGTCCGGGTCTTTCCCCAAAAATTCCTGACTCTCCCTGTGCTGTTACATTTCGTCGGCAACGCAGATTGAAGATGTCATTAATAATGAAGCTGTGGATTTATAGGCACGAAAAACTAGAAATAGGCAGCCAAATAAGCATTTTAAAATGTAAAATAAGTAATTTAAAAATGTAAAATTGGCATTTTCAAATATAAAATACGATTTAAAAAGGGGCACTATACATTTTTCTTATCCTTTTTTATGTACTTTGGTACAAAGTGTATGAAGTACACATAATACAGTTATCTTCATGGAATGATTGCTTTCATCATTGATGTGACAAATCCTCGTAGAAATCCTTCCTTTCATGTTATACAATTCGGACAAAAAAGGATGAATCACTTTTTTGATATTCATTCATTTAAACGTAATTAAAAATACTTTATCATTTGTTTTAATCGCCATGTCTTACACAAATGTTGCTAGTGATGTTATAACAGTCCTTATTTTCTTGCCTCATATCTAAAAAATATTTCAAAATTTGGCAATTTAAAAAACTTGTTCAATGAAACATAAATATATAAAGCATAAAAAGCATAAAAAAGTGTTCAATGAAAATGCGACCTGCGCCATTCTCTAAAACGCCTCTTGTTCTATCCGTACGAAAAAATTGAATCAAAAATGCTTTGTGATTTCTGAGATCTTTTCATAACTTGCATTAATCTCAAGCAGAAGTTTCGCAAAAACCACTCGTCAAAATATGTACGTGACCTTTTTTTAAGGTCTGATTTTTAAAACAGATTTCATTTAAGACAAAATTTTCCTGTATTCAATGTTGTACATTTGCAATTTTCAAAAATACAGTGTGGTCGTAAAATGAAAACGGTCGCTTTATTTATACCAGGGTTGTCCAACTAGCGAGCCGAGAGCCGAGTGCGGCCCGCGGTGCCATTTGTTGTGGTCCGGGAAAGTTTATTAGTGAAAACTGAAAGCTTCCTTGTCGAGCGAGAGCATGGCGTGCCTAATGCATGCGGCTTGTATCGACGACAATTCCTTGATTAAAAAAAAATTAATTTAAGAATTTCTTCTAGTAAATTCAGCAATTCAAATCCATCCTAATGTGTTTCACTGAGTTATGAATGGTATAGATTGATAGCATGCGTGGTTCCATTCCACTCCTGTTTCAGACCAGTCGGGCAAAGTGCAACCATATTAAAGGTGTTAGATATGGCCCTTCAGACCTTACAAGTTGGACACCCCTAATTTATACCTCCTTTGATACATACGAGTAGAAAATGTTGAGAAAAAATTTGGAGAAGTACAAAAGTGTTTAAAAATTCTAAATAAAAATAACGTGACTGCTACCAACGATTTTGCACGTGTTTCATAACACGAAACACCCGCAGTGGTTGTTGTAATACGGAACATACATTTAATGGTAGTTGTTCTATAACTCTGTACTCTTCAGTAAAAAACAAATAAACGAACAATTTTTAAAATGTTTGTGAATTTTTGTAAGCATTTATTTTTGATCAATAAATACGAGAACATGTCACAAACATTTAAACACAAAATAGGAATTTATTAGTGAAATAGGCAATATAAAACTTGCCTGCCATCGCCATGGAAATGAAGAGTCTCCGCTCAGTTGTCATTTCCAAATGAAAATCTCAACAGAATTTTCTTTCAGAAAAAGACCTCGCCATCCCTGTCAGGACTTCAAGACATTTAAGACTCAGGCCTCTAAACTGCTAGCACCAACACACCTTTCAATAAGTGGTTCAAGTATTCAAAAATTCAAAGCTTATTTCAATGTAATCATGGCTAACTTGTGTGAAATTATTATTACTGTTCTGGATAATATGCTGCATGCAATTATGCATTAATGCAGATGTGCACCAGAGACGCGTCGTTTGAATTTGTTGAATTAGACTTTTTCAAGTTATAACTGAGATTCTATTAGGACAGAAATTGCCTTATATCAGTTTAACCTAATTGTTTCCAATAGTGTGAGAAAGTATGTGCTGCTGTAGTTCCACATACAAATGTTTGACTGTTAATATAATTAAATTAAATTAACACAAAAAGTAACATATTTCCAACGGAAACAAATATAAAATACTTCATTATTTAAGACATAACTTCATAAATTCTGGTGGTCACTGAGGTGACAAAAAAGAGCAATATGCAAATATACAGATGGTAGTAGTCTTAGCAAATCTTTCATTTTTGTTCAAGTGATTCACGTGAAAAGATTTCTGGCGTGATTGTAGTGGCGCAACGGGAATTAACAGACTTTGAACGCGGAATGGTAGTTGAAGCTAGACGCACGGGGCATTCCATTTCAAAACCGTTAGGGAATTCAATATTATCAGATCCACAGTATCCAAAGTGTGCCGGAAATGCCTAATTTTAGTCATTACCTCTCACCAGGGTCAAAGAAGTGACCGACGGTCTTCATTTACTGACTGAGAGCGGCAAAAGCGTAGACTTGTCAGTGCTAGCAGTCAAGCAACTCGAATGCCTTTGCTAACAGCAGGACATCGCCTGCAGTGCCTCTCTTGAGCTCATGGCAATTTTGATTTGATGCTAGACTGGAAAACACTGACGTCTCGATTTCAGCTGTGAAGAGATCGGTATGGGGTAGGATTCGAGTGTGGCGCAGACTCCACGAAGCAATGGTACCAAGTTGTCAACAAGCCTCTGTGCTTTCTGTGTGCGTTCATGAAAGAAAATGTAAATAGACGTACATACCGCTACACACACATTGGAATTGAAAGCGATTGTCATTGATTGATTCGAATTATAATTTGAAATTAAATACACAGGGTATCACTGCGGGCCGGAAGCCATCGCCGCTCCTGCCACTCGCACAACTTAAAGCTGATATCAATTGTCATTGTTTTATTACTCTGTCACAGCACAAGGCACATGCCAGACTTCGTTTCAACCTAACTGTATTTTTACTGTGTTAACGTATTCCAAAAGATGCAATTCTAAAACAACTTCCTAACATTGGTTCGAGTCTAATCACATTTTTTGGAGATATTGTTATCTTTTCCAGGCCTAAGTGGCAATGTTCGACATACAGGAAATCTATCATTCTTACCGTTCTTGTAAGAACCTTATAAGGTTCTACAACCATTAAAATCAATAAAGGTATGAATATTACATTGTTTCAATTCAAAAACCAGTTTTCAGAATGCGATTCATTAAACGGGGATTTTAACTTTTTTATGAAAACAAGTAGAAAGAAATTAGCCACAAATTGCGTCACTTATAATTTCTTTTTACTCTGAAAACTAAATGCAATCGCCTGTTTGTACGGCAAGGGCACTAGGTGCACAATAACCTCACTTGGAAAAGCTGACGCTGCGCGCAAAGATGGTCGGCCGATCACGAACTCGACCAGTGAAAACGGTGGTGTTACTCCTTTACGAATTAATACCAATCTGTGGAGAATCCGTCATGCCTTCACTATCTTCGCAACAATTTGCATTCTAACTTCCTCAGGAATTCGAGGTATCTTCTGGGCTGGACCTTCACCTACTTCGGTCATTTCTTTAGATTTTTTGGAGAAACTTACGGACAGAGGTTCTCTTCAACCGAAAGTAGTTTAAATTTCGAGCCAGTGCAGATGTGTTGGGTATGTTGTCATCAGGGTTCGCTGCAAGCCTTTGCCTTCAACTGTTTATTGTACCAGAGAGGG